TATTTTTAAATTAAATTTAAAATTTAACCAGAATATTAAGACATCCTAAAAGCACTTAAGGCCTTCAAAGGAGGTATAGCATACAAATTCAGTGTGGTGTTCTGTGTGCTAGGAATTTGTATATGTTACTAGATAGGAAAAAAACCCAGCTTTCCTCTCTATATGAACCATCCTCTTCCTCGATCATGAAAGTAGAATGCTTAAAAGAAAGTTTATCGCTGCTTGTACTTCAGTCGTGATTTTTTTCTTTTTTTTTCTGTGATCTTTTTCAGTACTCTCTTATGCACGTATTCCAGATGGTCTGCATTTAAAAAAGTGAAAGATTGATTGGATAACTTTAAGGTTTAACCAAGGTTAAAACACCTTGAATCTTTCACTAGGTACTTAATAAGTGTTAGTTTCTAACATTCAAAAAATGTTATCAAAAGGCAGTATGTGTTCAAACACAAAACCACATCTAAATCTCTATCCTCACTAATCACTTTTTATCTACTATCCTACCTTTGTATAAGATACTTTATAGTGTAGCCATGCGTAAAGGCCTGCTATTAGATATTACTTACAAAAATATTTCAGGTGGTGCTGTAGTTGGCAGATTTGCAGTTGGCAGGGGAAAAACACTAGATATGTTTAGCATGAATAAGGTCTTGATCTTTGTTTAACATGGAGGAGAATGCCAAAATGCTACTTGTCCTTTGGGCAGCACAGCAGCAGGCAGTGGTTGACCTGTACAGGAGCTGAGCGGTCTTTGCTCTTGCAGTGGGCGGCTGGTGAGAACATGGATGCAGTCTCAGTAGGTAGTCAGATGCTCAGATTCTCTAGACAAGAAAGTGTGGGTCCCTACTGCCCTGACAGCCGGACTGCATGTTCTCCTTGGCTGCTTGGCCACTACTTTCTGATCTTAAATGGGTCAAGCTTGGTGTTTACAGGTGAAGGGATTAAAAAGTGGTATAAACTGCGAGGAACTGCAGTGAGGAAGATAAAAAGACTAATGGGTGGGTGTTACACTTAGAAGAAATTGGGGGAGAGAGGTAGAGGATTACATGGGGAGAGGAAATACTACAGTAAAAAAAGATCTGACAAATAATTAATGGCCAACACGCTCATTTGAATTGGTCATATTTATGTTAGAGGGTTTTTATGGCAGAAAGCCACCAAAAGCATATATATTTTGTAAATAAGTACGGTGGTCATTAGAATTAGCAGTGAATGATAAGTGTTTGACTCTAATGACAGTTTTATTGAGATTTCAGATTATCATTTGTTGATTCTGTATTTTAACAATTGATAATGTAGCAGAACTCTGTACTTCTCACAGAAATAAAATTACGCTCTGCCCTGTACATAAAGGGGTGTGAATGTGTGTGTGCACACACAGCCAATTTATTAATTTAGGCATGGTTTATCAGCAAAATTACTTCTGTATTGCTGCTTCTTGGCAAATTCCAGCTCCCTTAAAAACATTCTAGATGCATGAGTGGAATAGGAACCAACAATACCATTTCTTCATCTATTTGCTCTTGTTTGGTTTTAATGGAAACTACAAAATTAATTAATGTTTAGTTTGTGAATGATTAAGAATGTCAGTGAGAGGAATTGACCAACACAGCATGTCTGTTTTCCATTAAGATGAAGAATAAAGTCCTTAGGGGGTTGTGCTAGAAAAGTGGAAGGAGCATTTGGCGATGAAATGACGTGTGTTACGGCTGCTGCTCTTTGGGCAGAGTCAGAATGCTAAACTGCATTTCTCCTGCTAACAGTGATTGCTGTCCATGAATCAGTTATGTCTCAGTCTTCATGGAAAACAGCCTGCTGGCAGGTAAGCTATTCCTAAGTCATGCAGAGTGGGAAGGTGTGTGCTCCTCGGCTGGTGCTAATGGTGGAAAGGGATGTACAAGCTCCTTGCTATCTTTTACCACTTTTTGCCACCTCCACTCTGCCCTTTTGCCACTGCCTTGAGTTATATCCCACCCTCGCTTAAGAGATTGTGTTCAGAAAAGAGCCATCTGAGAAGTCGTGGCATGATCATGTATTATAGCTGATGAGATACTGTTAGTTTAGTCTCCTTTGCAGGAGTAGCATTACATAAACTAAAAATACATGGACCTGTGTATTATGCTCAACAAAATTTTATAATTCACGTTGTACTAGTTGTCTGCATCTACTTGCAAACATGTTTTTTGCCTTATCCCCTTATGCTCTTATATGTACAACAGTGTTAAAAGTATATCAAATCTATGTGTTTGAGACCAGTGAAGTGCACCACGTGCCAACTTTTACCAATCAGTCATAATCTATGAGCCCCATCCCTGGAAGTGTTCAAGGCCAGGCTGGATGGGGCTTTGGGCAACCTGGTCTAGTGGAGCGTGTCCCTGCCCCTGGCAACTAGTTGGAACTAGATGATCTTTGAGGTCCCTTCCAACCCAAACCATTCTGTGGTTCTGTTTGAAGTTACAAACTGGTGAAATGTTCATGCCTTGCATTGTTGAGAAGAAAGGTTTTTTGTGTTAACATTGTACTTCCTATTTTAATTTTCTTTGTAGAATTGACTTTGCCCAAGTTGTACTTGATAAATAAATAATTCATGATCTATAGTCTACAGGTAATGCAAGAAATTCTGCTTGGTTCCCTTCTGGTTTAAGTTACATGAGGTAGAAAATTAAACTTAAATAATGTGTTACTCTCTTCTGATTTTTTTTTTAAGAGTTTCTCTTTGTGATACCAAAGTTGATGTCTGCTTCTATTATTTAATGACATTTTCAGTTTTATACATTTAACCTTATTAAGTCTCTTTTCAGTTCTTTGGCTTTGTGCATCTTAAAACCACATGAGATTCCACATCTTCTGCTTTTAAGGTTTATGCTGTGTTTTTTGTGTTTGGGGTGCATATTTCAAATTCCCCTAAAACTGAGTATTGTTTGAGAAGTAGCAAGATAACTGAGTGACATAGACTTTTAAAAATTCTGTATTTTGAAGCAATTTTAGCTAGAAGCTTTCTTGGGAATAGTCTTGCAGTTTCAAAGCAAGCTTAGGAATTCCTTTTTCACCTTTGTTTGCCATGGCAACAAACTATATGTGGTTTAAGGGAGACCATCCATCTTGTAAAAATATTCTGGTTCTCCTGCCTTTTATAGTTGCTTCCTTCCACTGTCTTTGTTTTTTGTTTCCTTGGCTCTAAAGAATGTTACATGTTTATTGATGGCAGTTTACAAAATTTATATGAAATCTGTTGTAAATGGTAGGAGAAAAGTACTGCTGGCTACATGGGAACAGTAGTCTTTGATACTGGCTAATTTTGTTTGGTTGTGGGGTGGGTTGGTTTGTTTGTTTGTTTTAATTTTAACTCTGTGTAAATCCTACTAATGAGTGGAAACTTTCATATCCCCCCTGCCACATGCATAGGATCTAACACCATATATTTCTGTAAGAAGTATGACACAGTAGGAGCAGATTTGTAGAGCTTAACAGTGCTAAAGACTTGATATCCACACTATATGTATTTGGAGTTTTTCCTTTGGGCTAGCCATAATCTGGTCCCATGGACTGAATGATGTCTGCTGGTTTAAGTGCGCTAGTTTCATGCCTGGAGCACACTTTAAAGGTTAGTTTGATCTGAAAGAATCAAGTTTGCTTAGTGTACTGTGTAGTGTGAGTTACAGAGGACTGTCAAGAAAAGCAGGCTCCTGAGCCAAACTAAAATGTTAACAGTGACACACCCTATATCTGTTACAATTTAACCTATAGAGCCTTGGATCTTTTGATGTAAATTGAAATTGCTCCTACTTCTAAGTGCTTAAAGTCTGCAGTTTGAATGGCTGTGTCAGGCCAAGATGGTGACCACCATGTACAAACCAGATTTTTAATATAAAATCCAAACTAATGATAGCTTATTAGTGGCTCTGGCTTAAAGGGACAAAATAAGACACTTCAATTGCTTGTTTGTGATAGTTAAGATTCTTTAGCTGCTAACAAGGTTTGACTAATTTCCTTAGGAGTAAATGTTCTGAAGTCGTGATGGTTTTTGTTGGCTTAAAGTAAAGCTTTTTGGTCTAACATGTAAGCTGTGTACAATAAGGTGGCACTAAATTTCTTTAGAGAACTCACTACAGAGTTGTCCCTAGCAACATAACGTAATTAATTGCAGAATTATAAATTACTAGAGCCAAAAGAGTACAGAACAAAACTATTATCCTAAAAGTGTACTTGGATATGTTTTTATGCTAACCTTTGGAAACCTTTTCTGATGGTTGCAGGTGGCACTTCATATTTAAGTATGGACCGGTTTGAAGATGTATCAGATGGTGAAGTGGATCATGCTTTCTTTGACAGTGATTTTGAGGAAGAGAAAAAGAAAGCTGAAGAAAATGGTGAATGTGTAGAGAAAGGAAGTACAAAGGCAGCTCTTGCAGACCCTGATTTGGTTTCTAATTCAAGGGATGCAAAGTATTGTGAGGAGGAAATTGAAGAAAAGCAGAAGGATTTGCGGAATGATCAGTCCCTAGAAAATAGCACAGATTATCTTGGAGACGCTTCATCTTTGTCACTTTCTCCAGTTGTGGAGAAGGCAGGTACATCTGGAGCGACATCTGCAGTAAGTAGGGGAACACAGGAGAATGTTCCTGCTGGAATCCCCAAAATAGTTAAAGAAGGTGAAGAAGATTATTATACAGATGAAGAAGATAGTAGTGATGATGGCAAAAACCAGAAGGTTAGACCAAAGTCAGCTAAGCAGTCAAACAACATAAAAAAGGCTGGCAAAAAATACACTAATATCAGCTCCTCCTCCTCCTCTTCCTCCTCCTCTTCTTCCTCGTCCTCATCCTCAAGCTCAGATACAGATTGTTCTGATACAGATTCTGATAGCTGTTTATCAGATTCATCTCATTCTTCCTCAAAGAGGAATGCTCCTAGGAATGCTCTTCTGTCTCCAAAACAAAAATTCAAGTCAGCAATGAAATCAGCAGAAGGAAAACCAAAGCTCGGTGACTATTTGGAGGAGTCTGAAGACACAGTGACTGACGTAACACCTCTGTCAACCCCAGACATAAGTCCTATCCAGTCTTTTGAACTTGCAACGTCAAATGATAAGAAACTAAAAATAAAAAGACAGGAAAATGTGAACCAAGAATTATATGGTAATTTTGAGGAATTTAAGTACAACACAAAATTTGTAAAACCTGTGGGACTGGGCAATCCAATCTTACGTCTGTGTTTTTTTTTCATTAGATTCCGAGTTTGACCGCAGATATAGTCGCAAAGTCTTGCATGATGCTATGGACCTGAATCAGCTTTTGAAAGGTGACTTTTGAATTTTCTTTATAAATAGTATGACATTTGTACATCGTTGAGAACAATAGAAGAGAGTGAGGTTTTAATATGCCACCATGTATTTTTAAAACTGGTTTGTGATTAAGCTGTGTTGATCTAGTTATTTGAATTCTTATGTATGTAAATAGTACTAGTTCTACAGTGGAAAGAAGCAGCGTGTATATGAGTGTGTGTTGGTATGCATATGCCTAGAGGTAAGACACACAAACAGGGTGAATCTCTAGATAAGATTTGATATATTAACAAATTAAATAATAAAACTGCAGGTGCGTGTTGAGAAGTCAAGGTTTACGTACTATTCCACAATTTACTGTCTAAATTATAACACCAACCTTTCTGATAAAATGTTATTGACCTTCAAAATTGAAAGGCAGTCCAAAATTACATTGTGTGATAAATAGTATTCATATATTTGAACTTCTGGTACCTTTTTGATAATGAAACAGAATTACTTGAAATTCTTTTCCTGAACTGTCTGCCTTCTAAAATACCATGAAGTTGAGTAAAGATATTTTAAAGAGAAAAATCATAGATAATCCTTACTAAGACTTGAGTGGTTGCTTCTTGCCAATAGATTTATTAGATCTTAATAATGAAGTCTGAGAGAGAGCGGGCTTTCACTGCATTCATTGCAAACCTTCATTGTATGGGGTGAGTATGCACTGGATTGTCTCATGTGCATATTTTAAGGTCTACACAGTGCTTTAGTGCTTGTTTTCATGGCCCACAGTTTTCAGTAGTAAAATCCATAGAATAAAAGAAGAAGTCAGCTCAAGAAATCTGCTGATCTCAGGTGAGGTAAGGTTCTTACAGCCTAACTCCAGGACATTTCAACCCAACTTTGCTGTATTGCAGTCTGTCTAGCATGGCTAAAATTGCATGTGTTGTCTTTCTTCACTTTGCACCTTGCCAGACTGAGCCTATAGTGAGTAAGGATTCATAATATATTGTATGCATCATTTAACTTTCCTGTGAGTAGAAATGAAGATTTTACTTGTATGGAAATTCTTCTGATGGTAAGAAATGCAGAGCTAGCCATCAAGAAAAGTAGAGCATATCATCCTTGTGCTCCAGCAAGTCTTTCGTACTAGAAAAGGCTCCAACCACGTGTCAAAATGCGATGTTAGAAGAGTTGTTGCTAGGCAATTGAAATTATGATGTGCTGCATCTTTATTTGTTCCCTAATAGCAAGAAGCTATTTAATAACTGGTGATTATGGAAGGATTCATCTCATCCCTAAAACAAATGGGTATTATAGCTCCAAATAAGTATTATCTGAGATGAATCTCTGTTTGGAGGGGTGGGGGGAGTCTTTTCCCAAAACTGAAAAACAATTTGAAATAACAATAATAAAGATTGAGTAATGAGAAGTAGAATTCATATAGTCTGGCATCTAATGTTCCTGATTAACTTGCATATTACTCCCAAGTGCCTCTCTAAATTGGCAAGCACAACATAGCTTAATTACTTTGGGTATTTTGAAGTTTAAATGGGGCAAGATTATTAAAGGTGGAAAGTAACTAGTCTGGGAAAATAGGAGCTGATCTTATTCTGAGTTACTGCTTCCAGGTTTTTCCATACTCATTTTAATTAAAAAGGTGCAAATCATTCCTCCCCAACCCTCCCACCCAGTCTGCATGAAGCGTTCATCGGTGCTGCATAGGCATGAACATTGCTTTAAGTGAGAACAATATAAGCCCAGACCTGAGTGTGTGAAAGAGTATTTAAATGATCATCAGGATGTCTAAGATTTGGGTTTATATATATAAAGTATATAATTTAT